CTTGACCATTATTAGCATTATCTAGGGGGTCATGATTGAGGGTTCTATATTTCTGTATTCTTTATTTTTTTCGGGCCATTTTCTTTACTCTTTATAAATTTTGCCTGTTATTCCCTATTCTTTATATTTTAGTACCCCATTATTCTCTCTTCTTTAAAATTATTGCCTGATTTTCTCTATTCTTTCTATATTTTGCCCATTATTCTCTATTCTGAAACCCCATCCAGACCCCCATCTAGTTAAAAAAATGTGCCCGATAACCCTGATAACCCTGCATACCAATCAACATGAGCGAAATGGCTAAAAATAGAACATAGGGGTAAAATGCAAGTGTTGTCTATTTTCTCGAAAACCACTGTAGATAGAGAAAATCTCACATGAGCAAAATTGTCCACAATGATAAGATATACATATGTTATTTGCATCAAAACTGTCAGACGACTTCTTGTAGGAATTATTGCCGTTTAAATGACGAATTTTACAAATGTTTTCATTTTTGTCTATTATGTTCAAAACTATAATAGATGGACATGAACTTTTTATAGCGAAAATAATCAGCAAAACAAGATCTACAAATATTAAAGTGATCTAAAGTGTCAATGACCGAAATCGTCAGTTTGCTCCCTATTAGAGCAATAACTCTTTCATCACAATTTTTGCCGTGTTTTTTTTCTTTTTAGCTCACCTGGCCGATAGGCTTTTCTAATCACTAGGCGTCCGTTGTCCGTCGTCGTCGTCCGTTAACTTTTACTCAAATCTTCTTCTCTGAAACTGCTGGGCCAAATTTAACCGAACTTGGCCACACTCACTGCATGTTGGGGTATCTAGTTTTAAAATTGTGTCCGATGACCCCGCCTGCCAACCAACATGGCCATCGTGGCTAATTAAAAATAAAACATATGGATAAACTATAAGTTTTGTCTATTACCTTGAAACCGCTATAAATAGGGAAAATCACACAAGAGTAGACATGTTCAGAATGATGAGCTCTACCTATTTGCATCAAAACTGTCTGACGACTTCTTCTAGGAGTAACTCCCCTTAAATGACAAATTGACCAATTTTTTTTTTTCGTTTTTGCCTATAATCTTGAAAATTATAATTTATATATGTCAACCCTTAAACCATATACCAGTACATTCTTGCTTGCCAAGGCAAGACCTTTTAGGTGCAACGAAGGATTTGTCCGTACTTTTATGCCCGTCCCTCATATAATAAACTTGTCATTTATCTCCAAAAATGGTTCAGATCCCCACCATAATTATTTCTAGTTCACCATATGTTTTGTCCCTTATGGTCTTGTCCCGACCTCTGCATATTATTAAAATGATTAAACAGCTTGAAAACTGTTTATAGACCAACCCTGAACCGTATATATCAGGTTAACAATAAATGTCTTCCGCTGGTGGCCATGCCCCTCATATAAACTGTTCAGATCCCCATCCTAAAACCATATATTTCGAAATTTGGCAAATGGATGCATGACAACATCCCTCAGTACAGCATAAATTTTTTTCGATGGGATTCCTATCTATTTATCTGCCATGACGAGACTATTTAAGTGCACCATATATTTTGTCCCTTATGTTGGGACGGGGGTCATGCCCCACACGTGGCCCTCATATCATAAATTGTGAAATATATTGAAATCAGTTTCAGGCTCCTACCTATTAACCACATAAATACATATTCTTATTTTGCACTTTTCAGTACTAGAATGTGTTTGTTGTGTCTCTTGTTTAACTGGTGTGACTTCTGCAGATAAAGATGAGACACTAAAACAGTTTATAACTACTTAGGGTATGTTTTAATTTATTTAAAACAAAATAAATGACAGTTCAGAAAAGAAAATGTTTAAATTGATAAGGTTTAAGAAAAAGTTTATTTTAAAAAAAAGGGTCAATAAATATACAGGGATCGTATCTAATTTTGCTGACTTTATAAACAACATAACTCAAAAAGCGATGCAGTGACAGAAGGTGAGTTCAGTGAGTAGTTTACCTAATTGGTTGAAATAATTCCTCCAAAAAATCAATTTGAAAATGCATGTACACTTTTCTCAAACAAAATTTTCTATATATGAAAGAGTATTTTTATTTATTTTTAATAGTTCTGTTAAAATTTTCTAATTTAAAAGCTGAATTCTATTCAGTGTAGCGCTTACAAAATGAAGTAAAATGGTTTTAAAAATACATACGGCGTGGTTTGGTTTGATCACGACTATGAAATAAATCTGAAACGCAAGGTATATGGTAATGCATGGTCATTTAATGCTCACAGAATCAAGATTACTGAAATTAGAGTAACTCAGTGATACTTCGGAAAAATTGTTATTGAATAAAGGGGTATAACAAAACTAACTTCATTTGAACTTTGGTGGATAGTTGTCTCATTGGCAATCATACCACATCTCCTTGGTCTCTGGTGGATAGTTGTCTCATTGGCAATCATACCACATCTCCTTGGTCTCTGGTGGATAGTTGTCTCATTGGCAATCATACCACATCTCCTTGGTCTCTGGTGGATAGTTGTCTCATTGGCAATCATACCACATCTCCTCATTTTCACATTTATGCATTGTTGAATAGTTTACTTGATTCATATAACCATGAATAAAGGGAGAGTTAAAAAAAGAAATAAAATACACGGGTCTTCAACAATAGAAAGCGTGCCACTATACAATAAGTATAACAAAAAAAAATTAAAAATCAGAGGTCAGCTTACGGTCTTAAACAATAAACAGGTGCCAATACAATATAACAAACTCTAAGGTGCCATGAGTACAACAGTGGTAAATAAATCTAACAGACAATAAAAGCGTAATTCCTTTATTTTTTGTTGCTGTGCATATACTGATTTTGTGTCATGGATGAATACCCGGGCATCCTTTCTTTTCTATTAACAAATTTCTGCCGTCAACCTAAGAGTGCTCGCTAGTTCAAAGCCCACTTTCTACTAATAAAACATTGATAAAAGACAAAAAATAAAAATCAGGCCTGACTTTTGATATCTATATTTGTATGTCATATAAAAATAAGAATTTGTGGTATATGATTGCCAATGAGACAGCTGTCCATCAGAATACAAATGGCTAAGATTAAAACGTAGGTGTAAGCAACTATATATATATGTCACTGTACGGCCTTCATCAATGAACAAAACATATATGGTATAGTAAGCTATAAACCCCCTCCCCCCTCCCCTCGACATTAGAAACGAATAATATTTCAAATGAACCAAACCAACGGCCTGAAATATCGACAAAACAATAAACGTAAAAAATAAGATAGACATCTACCAACGACAACCACTGAATAAAAGGCTCCTGACAATGGACAGGTACATGTAGAATGTGGCGTGTTTAATCATATTAGCAAGCGCTCAACCGGCCTCTCCTAATCTTTAACAGAATGAAACAGCAAAACATAGTTTAGTGTGACGTTCATTTTCACTGAACTAGTACACATTTTTGTGCAGGATTTTTTCGCCGTGAGTGTGTTGAAGACCCATTGGTGGCCTTGGGTTGTTTTCTGCTCTTTGGTCGGGTTGTTGTCTCTTTGACACATTCCCCATTTCTGTTCTCAATTTTAAATTGTAAAATCAGTTGAAAAAGGCTTGACTTATCAGATCGACACAAAAAAAATAAAATAACCACAAGTACCAAAAAGACAAAATAGATATAAGAAGATGTGGTATGAGTGCCAATGTGACAACTCTCCATCCAAGTCACAATTTGTAAAAGTAAACCATTATAGGTCAAAGTAAGGCCTTCAAACATACCTATCTTAGAATACTCGTATGTATTGAAGGCTAGTTCAAGGCCAATTACAACTAATACATGTATGTATAAATCTTGTTTCCAAAACTAAAATAGCAATCAGTACACATCCAATGGATTTAGTTTAAAGACCAATCTGTCAGGTAAAGGTGTCTGAAATGACCCTGTTTCTGATAAAAAAAACCTTTCGGAATTTTTGACACTGTATACTCTTCAAATTCGTACTTTATTTGGTCTTGTAATTGTTTTCTATTCGAGCGTCACTGATGAGCCTTTTGTAGACGAAACGCGCGTATGGTGTACAGAATTATTGCCTGGTATCTTTGATGAGTTTTTTGTACAAGTAAGCCGGATGTATTGTAGCACTGTAAGTTTTGATAACTATATAGGAATTCATATTTATTTATTTTCAGTTAAATTTTAACTGTTTTCTAGAATATAATGTAATACCTGAAAGATGAATTTGATGGCAAGGCATTTCATGTGTTTTCAAGTACGACAAAATAACAGAAGTCATAACAATAAGTATACGACATGTCCGTATTTTCTATATATTAAATTTCTATGAATAATGATGATAATATTTGTCATGAATAAAGTAATGTCCAGTTTCAAAGGAGGCATGGGAATGTCGATGTTCGTTTGATGAATCGCTTGAAAGCATCAGAAAATCTTTAGGTAAATAGAATTCTCACTGGTATTTAGTAACTTAGTATAATTCGACTATATATCAGTATAGTGAGTTTTATGTTAATTTTTAACATACATTTATAAACTAGTATTTTTTAACCTTATAACTCTGTTTAGACGTTTAGACATATTGTTTTGTGATGCCTACATATGAGGACATTCTGTGTCTGAAATAAATTAAGGTTTTCTTGAATATCACGAAGAATATTTTATTCAAATTAAGGGCTCCGGTATACAAGCTGACTTAATACAGACATTGGAATATTTATTTCACAAATGTTGATTTACACAATGTAAATTTTATTGATATCAGATTGGTTTAAATTTGTCATTATTTGAGAAAAATGGGTAGACTATCTTAATTATTGCTGATTATGCTATCCCCTGTAAATATCACTACTAGGGGGTTAAAGACCTTGACTATCCATGAGGATCATTGTTGCACATCAGGGTGCTCCATATAAAGGAAAATTGTCCATATACTGTCACACATCAGATGGCGCTGCAGACTTTCATGACCTTCACCTTTTGACAAACCACTTACCTGATTTCCAAAACAGACAGGTGCGAATTTCAAGAATTACATCACTACGTGAACTATAAGGGAACATATTATTCAAGAAAGTTTTCATATTATTATTCAGTATATTTGAAACGACTGACATATCGACTTTGTCCTATTCGCTTGCTAAGTGTGATGCATTGCTGTAAATTTTTACGTGCTGTAGTGTAGATCTATGAACAGATGAATATCATTATATTTCCCTGTCAAAACTGACCACAACACTAACACAGTGGATATTGAAACTCAAAACAGGTATAAATAAACTATCATTGAATGTATCCATTTTTCTTTGCTGTCTGAACATTATCCATACATATTTTTTATATAATTAATTGAGTTAATGAATCGTGGTAATTTGTCTCACAGTTCTGACATAATATTGTACAAAGAAGATCCTTTATGATACTAACAATTTTCAATTATGTTATATTAGGTTCCCATGAAAACTGGAAATGTACTGGAATTTATTGCAGGCCAAGAAAAATGTGGATCAACTGAACTTGGTGACCACAATACTTGTATACTAGTATTGTCAACAATACTCATATATAATTACTGTACAAGTATTGTACAAAAAATTTTAAAAACCAATAGGGTTTGTTATTATTCATTGATGTGTTTTATCAACAACTTGTTGGTGTTTTTTTGTTCTAATGCATTTAGGCAGATATAAAAATTGAGACTATGCAAAAAAAAGTATGTTGCTTTATGAATGTCTGACAATCAAAATATACGTGAATAACCTGTACAATAAAGACGGCTAAGGTCAGCAAAAAATCTGGGATTTGTTGACAATTGAAATTTTGTGAAATTCCTAGTTTTAAACAAAATTTTGACTAGCCCGTCAGACTACTGTGATGAAATCTTTACTAGCCCTCCCTAATTTTTACTAGCCTCTGGCTAGCGGACTAGCGTTAGTGTCTAACCCTGCCTCCCATTTCGTACCCTGGCAAAAACCATTCCTACCCTGACCATTTCGTTACAAAAAAATGAATAAATGTTTCTAATTTTCCATCCTGAAATACATATTTTTCAAATCATTACATTACTTTTGAATATTTTTGGGTAAAGGCAGTAATAATTACTCTACTTCAATGTATTTATATTTTATATAAACAATACTATGACAATACTTGTACATTAATTATATACGAGTATTGTTGACAATACTAGTATACAAGTATTGTGGTCGCCAAGTTCAGTTGATCCAAAAATGCCCTTGAAATTGAATAGAAAATGATGAAAATGACAGGAAAACCCTTTAATTTTTAACACACAATATTTTGTTTTGAAATAGAAGTTATTTCCCTTCAAGCAATTATGAAAATGATTCAGACTTTCTTGTCTTTGAAATACTTTTAGACAGGATTTTTTTAGCCAAAGCTGTACATGTACATTTGTATGACTAAGGTCCTTGGCTACTGACAATGACCAAAGTCCTTAGAGCATGTAGAGTGTTTATGAGTAGGGATCTAATTGATGGATCTTGTAAAAGTGCTTTTGTGTCACACATTGTACAAATGTACCTACAGACTTAATCCACAATTATATCTGAACCTAAACAAGACATTTTCCATCAAATATATAGGTAAACAAGTAAAAAAAGGTGGAATATTCACTCCAAGGCCAATTTCATACATATAGGTGAGAAATGCCTTTTATCTAAAATTCTGTTATTTTTCATAAACCATCCTTTCCTGTTAAAATCAACAAACTTGATCATACAATGTATTGACTCGAATTCCAAGTTCAGTCTGAGTAAGAATAAGACAGCAATTATTGATTTGGATATGACTACTGTGTCATTTGACAGCTTGCCTTTGGAAATTGGTGTCAAAACAGACTTCACATCTCTTTTCAAACTGATAATTATCGTCTGTAACGTTATACCATGGTATGATATGTTAATTAAACAGCAATAACCAATTCTTGTAGAGTTACAAATGTACTACCCTTATTGTAGGTGTCAGACCACCAATTCACCACTGCAATTAAGAACATATAAATATGTAAAAGTAGCCCTTCCTTGACAAAAAATAGTGCTTTTGATGTCATTGTTGACTAAAACTAACCAACAAAGTTGCAGAAATGAAACTTTTGGTGAAAGAGAAATATATTTAGACCATTTTGAACTAAAATTTACTTGTTCATGAGTTTGCATTATAAACTGAGGATTTAAATGCGCTCCATAGTATACTTAAATATTATTTAAGAATTAAGATTTCCAGAAAACCAGTGGTTATTTTTAGTAGTAGTTGCCTTCCAAACAGTCACGTTTCAGTACAAGACTTTAAACATTGGTTGAAAATTGGCATGAAGAAAGGTGATACATGTACAATTTAGGATATACCTGGTTTCTATGAAGTTAAAATTAAGGTAAAATATTTATAAAGATGTGGAAATTGAAAATATTAGTTGAATAGATAGGGATTTTGAATTGATGGTCTGGCACCTTTTAAGTATATTTTCAAGTTCTAGTCTAGAAAACTATGTCTTTTGATAAGCATATTATAATATATTCATAGAAAATTCTTCAAAACATATTATTTTTTTACACATATACATTTTAAGAATGATATTTATTAAAAATTAAATGAATTATTTTGACTGTTTGAAATGACAGGACTTTAAAACACTGAGTAGGATATTTTTTGAAACAGAAAATAAAAAATTTTATCAATGAGAACTGACAACTCTTGCATGTTTTCATAACAGTATCTTCAGTAAATATGATGGATCAAAAGGAAACAAAGTAATCAAAAGAAACTTTGAAATGGAGTGGTGAGAAAAAAATTATGTTCTAAATATCACTTTTCATATGATGCACCACTTTCCAGAGTACTAACACACAGTTATGCCCAGTGAACAATATAGTCACCTGAATTGTTTGTATGTATGTATGTATGTTTGTTTGTTTGTTTTTTTTAATTTTTTCTTTATATACCTGGTACATGTGATGTATATATTTTTAAATGGTGTAAGGAAACATGTTGTGATTATGCAAATGATTATCTAATTGTGTGGTACACATTGTTGACAATGAAATGAATGGGCACTTACAAATGTATTCTTTTGTAAATAAGTTAAACATTGATAAAAAATAGCTAAATAATTCCAAACCTGGTAAAAAGACCAATTGTTAGGTATACACTAATATCAGATGATCATGCCAAATGATTAATACATAATACTGCCATATTTATGTATTGTAAATATATTTGATTTCTCAAATTATCTCAATAGTAAGTAATTGATACCAGTAATTGTATCAACAATTTATTGTTATGTAATCTTAGGCCAACAAAAAATTTGTGTTGTAAGGGTTTCCTCTTTTAGTGTATTAGGTATGGTTGTTCGGTAAATTTGAAAAATCTTGTTCTTTTTTTTTACTTCTAGTATATCATACATATACAGGAACCACCTGCAATTTTGTTATAAATCGGTACTAAAAGTGCTGTTAAAAACTTTAGAGTAGCAAGTTTTTAGACAAAACATTTGGAGAACAAGTTACAGTAAGTACGGGAAATGTATTCTTATCACCAGTAGCTCCAGCAAAAGTTGACAAGTTTGGCAAAACTGCTCCAATTGCAGTGTCCAATGTCTTGCAGAAAAAAATATCTATCTGTGTCTCGATTTTTGTTTGTAACCAACTTTAGTTTACCATCTTAAATTCAAGAATTGACAAATAAAAGATCTTGGGTAAACCATGTAAACCATGTGACTATTGTGGTTAAATTTGAAGACATCACATACTAATAAATTCTGAACTTATATTTGTCACAAAATATCACAATGCATACTGAACAATTTCTGGAGTATATCTTTAAGTTCCTTTAAAAGGTTCAGCAACTATCTCTCAAGTGATGGAAATGTTCCAAGTATCAAAATTGTATTTTTTTAGCCTTTTAAATAAAAGTGGCCCACATTCACACATGTAGAATTGTAATGATTTTTACTAAGGAAAAAAATATTTCTTCAGGTAAAAAGATTACAATTTTCATTGTCAAGAGACACATGTACCAAAGGGACATTCAGACTCATAAGTAAAGCACAAACTGACAATGCCATGGCAAAAAACTAATTACTATCAGAAGAAAAAACAAATGTATACAAAACACAACAAATACTGAGCAAAACTAACCTCACCAAAAACTGTGGGTGATCTCAGGTGCTCCAGAAGGGTTAGCAGATCCTTCTCCACATGTGACACCTGTCTTGTTACTCCTATAAAATACATTGGTATGTGAAATCAAGTGGTAAGGCATCACAAAACAGCGGATTGGAAATCGGCTCTCATCTAACCCTAAGACATCACCAAATTCGTAAACCATGTAAATAGCAGTATACACTGTACATGTACCTCCTAACAGTTGTAAACCTTGCCCACATTTTCATTATTTTGTCACTTTGAAATATTTGATGCTATTTGAAGGAATACTAACAATTCTCTTTAACACAATTCAAGAAACTGCACTAATTTTCCTCATGGTTCTGATTTCTGTATGGAGAATGCAGCTTACGAGATTAAGGATATTTAATATGCTTTAAGATTCAAAAGACATTGCTATCAGTTTTTTTTTTAGAAGACTGTCTTATGACTTATACCACAGGCCTTAGTTTCTGTGTTCCAAGACTCGCACAGCAGAAAATCTGTGCTTATATTATTAAAAAGGGGATTCTTCAGATTAAATTGATATGAAAAGAATGTCCAATTGGCTTAAAACAATCTCAAGACACTTACATTTTCATGGTTCAATGTTCAGTGTTGTGCTTTTGTGGTTTGGTCTGTTTCTTTGATTCTATAAGCAATAGGTTAACTATATTTGGTGCATGAATGATTGTAAGGTATACAGGTCTCTCTGACATGTATCATCTGACCTTGAATTCATTTTCATGCTTCATTTGTTAATGTTTAGTTTCCTTGTTTGGTCCTCTTCTGAGGTACCAAAAGCAATACATGTAGGTCAACTATATTTGGGGCATGGAATGATAGTAAGGTGTACATGCATGTCTGTGAATGTCATGTATCATCTGACCTTGATTTCATTTTCATGGGTCAATGGTCAATGTTAGGTTTTTTTTTTTATACTACATCTATAAGCAATAGGTACATGATATTTGGTGTATGGAATGATTGTAATATGTACATGTCTGTCTGGAACAGTTCCTCTGACCTTGACCTCATTGTCATGATTCATTGATAATGTAAAGTTTATGTGATACTTGTAGTGAAACCTTTATCAAAGTAAAAT